CTAACAAAATCATTGAACCACAAAAACTCAATTTGTGTTTTTCCCTTTTCACAATTGGTTCGACTAAAAACATCGGCTACAACTACAAGAGTAGAAGCAACGAGTCCCAAACAACAGCGGCAGCCAAAAGGGCCGGAACCAAAGCCCGGGCCCGAAAACCCGAGGCGAGGCTCGAGTGGGGCCCGCTTCCCGATGGAGGGCTCGAAGGCGGTGGTGGCGGGTTCTCTCCATGGACCATAAGTTTCATGCCCCCAAGACATTGCCACTCGCTGCTGATAAAATAGTAATCTCGAGTCTCGTTGAGTTCCATCACATCCCTTCCGACCCCACCCGTAAAGTTGCCGAGCGGATGGTCGTATCAATCAATCATTCTTACACACAACATCAACCTTAATTCACTATTCATCAACTCACATAATTTTAACTAACCATCACATCACATCTTCTCTCTCATACTTTTACATCAATTTAATTTTAATTTAATTTCATATATTATTTTAATATACACACTAACAATTAACCATACCAACTTTTTCAAATTTAATGATAAGTCGTACTATTGGCATGTTTATTGTAATGCCCCGTTTGATTATGAAATTTTGGGAATTATTATTATTATTATTATTATTATTATTATTATTTATATTTAGTTTTGTTATTATTATTATTATTATTATTATTAATTGAATGCTAAAAATTATTAAATGTCTAATATGATGTATTTGTCAATTTGCGATTAAATGTCTAATTGTCTAAATGATTTTTATTTGCCCAATTGTAATTAATTGCCTAATTGTCTAAGTGTTATTATTTAATTAAAATGTTTAGTTGTATTTTTATTAATATTAATATTATTATTTTCTTAAAATTTGAATTGTGTGTATTATCAATATATATTATATATTTGGTTTATTTATTTATTGTGCAATTTAATTTTCGAGCCGATCCGATTTAATTTATCGAGCCCGGGTTAAAACCGTATTATCGCTACGTCTAGTTGGGCCCGAGAACCCTTCGTTTCATTGAACCCGCGAGCCCGTATCCATGCCCCGGCCCAACCAAATCGGCCCGCTAGTATGTGGTGTGTGTATTGGGCTTCATGTCTTTAACCCTAAGTCTCAATCTCTTATTCTCGCTCGCCAGTATCAGACCAGAGAAAATAAACCCCGCAGCTTTTCTTGTTCATCTCTTTCGATCGCAAGTGTTGAATAGAGAAGAGACCTTCGCTCAAATCTGATCCCAACCCTCACTGTCATCCTTTTCTTCCGATCACCTACACCTTCCCTCACCTGAATCGTCGTCGCCAACCCCGCACCATCACCATCAGATCGCCGTGAACCCTCCTCCCCCAACCTGTCGCGACTGCAAACCCGGCGAGCAGCAACTCGCAGCATCACCATCCTCATCTCCATCTCTGCAAATTCATCCCGCCACCACATCCGATAACCCTCCTCTGCCGCCCGCAAAGCAATTCCAGTCGAGCCCGTTGACGCCGCTGTCCGCGAGCTCCATCGCCGCTAGTCGCCTGACAAACTCCGGCGACCTCCTTCCGTCGAGAACCAGTCCTTCCCGCCGACGTTCAGACCTTCACGTCGAGACTCCAGCAATGCGCGAGCTCTCTCCCTCACCGGCGAACTTCCACCGCGTGAAACTCGGCAACTCCGACGTTTCTCCTTCCGAGCAGCAGTTCGTCGCGCCTCATCCCTAGCAGCCGCGAGCCGCTGTCGTCGCCGCCTCTCCGCTGCAAGAAGGCCCCACGCAAACGAGCTCGTCAACTCTCGTCTTCTCGTTCCATTTTCGAACGAATCCCGCGGTACAAGGATAGACCCGTCTCGTTTAATTCTTTGTATTATTTGAAATGTTCGATTATATGAAATGAGTGTTGAACGTGCTTCGTGAAGTTAAATACGTGCCTTAGTTGAGAAATTGTGAGGATTTTATTATTTAATTGCAAATTGGATATCAAAGTGATTGCCGTCACTTTGAATTATTGTCGAACTGAATTTATGTGGTTCGTTTCGTGGAAATCCTGGAGTTTAGGTACTTGGAGTTGTCCTTGATCTGTTAGTTTTGGTTTGAAGTAGTTTCGAGTTGTATTTTGGGAGTTATGATTTTTCTAAACCGAGCATGCTGCTGAATCGTAATAAATTCACCATAAATCGAGTTGTTATCCGTATGAGCTGAAATTTTGATATGTTGTGCCTCTGAGTATGTTCAATGTGCGTGCCAAGCCCCTGAATTTATTTCTGAGTTTTTCGAGTTCAAATGCTTAAAACGGTTTCTGAGCAGAAACTTGTAAACTTCATTAAAAATCGTACACTTAGAGTTTTGAGCTGAAACTTTCAAGAACCTGATATTTTATGATGTTTTAGTTTGTGTAAAAATTTCAGACTGAAACTCGAAGTTTAGCTATGCGAACTATTAAATGCTGATTTTGGTGCTGTTTTTGCTTAAATCATTTAAAAATGTTCCCAGATGAATTTAGGGCCGAAACTTGGTGAGTTTATGTGTTTTTGCATGTTTTATAATGTGGTAAAGTTTCAGGTTGATTGGCTGAGCCTAACTCCTGATTTTGAATTTAATTTATTTTGGAGTCTAAATGTTCGGTTATCGGTTGTTTAGGTTAGGATTGGATTTTGTTGATGTTGGCATGACTTATGTGTATTATATGAAGTATTTGAGTTGTGTCCAGGTCTGGTAGTCACTCCATAGTACCTAACTCGGTCAAGGAATCCACGAGTCACTTAGTCGATATGATTTCGGCTAAGTATATGTGCCTTACGTGTTGTTTTGATTTGGGCAGTCAGTGATAGGTCCTTATAAATTGTTGTAGGTCCTTCGAGCTGAACTTGTGCCATAATTCCCTTCAACTCTGTGTTTTGCTATACCTATATCCAGGTGGGTTTAATTCGAAAATTTTCTATGCCTTAAATATTATGACTGTTTTAAAATGTGGTATGATCAAAGTATGCATGTGAACCATGTAGCCTTCGATGTGAGCTATATTGGCCGTCGAGCGGTTATCCCCGTAGCTATAGAACGTACCCGTTGGATAATCTCCTTTGAGAATTTACTCCTACTGGCTTGGGAATCGATAGAAGCCCGAGGGGCATTCGGTATTTTACCCCGCAGTAGTCTATGCGTAGGTGTGCACACGAGTCTTGATTTTATGACGATCTTATGACGATATTATGATGACAGAAGATTGGAATATTAAATTGATTCTTATTCATGCTGAGATCATACTATTGATTTGTTTGATTAATGTTTAATGCATAGTGGTGAGCACTACTTTTTCCTACTGTGCTCATCCCCACCTGAAATTCACGTTTCAAGTTGAGCGAGGCAGGCACGATGGCGGAGTAAAGCGAGTGGTGGTCGGTCTATATAACCGGTCATGTTATTTGTTACGCTTCCGCATTAATGAATTCTGTATTTTATGACTATGAATTGGAGTATTTTGGGATTTTATGTCTTGAATAATGATTGGAACCCGGTTTGGGTGATTTATGGATTTTTGGAAAACTCGTTTGGGAGTTAGTATTATTGAATGATGATTGAGTTTGATAATTGATTGAATATTGGAAAGTTGGATAAGTATTGATGTTCGAAAATGAGTAGCGCCTTAAATGAGTATTTTGAAATAAATTTTGAAAAATTTATTCTAATTTTCGGTAAATAAAAGTGGGGCGTTACATTTATTGTCATGTTTTCCATACTTTTTCGGTGTTTGTATGAGTTTAATTATTGAATTTAATTGATTTTTTATATTTTTTGTAGGATATCTCGGAATTTAGAATTTTATGATGATTGGAGAGCAAAAGAGACGAATTTGAGCTAAGGTGTGGGTACGCTACTTTCCTACAAGAGTTGGAAGTAGGAAGGAATCTTGAGTTGGAAAGAGAAATAAAAGACCTTATGGAGTTTTTATTTATTTATGGACTATTTTAATTTGTTAAGATATTTTGGAGAGAGAATATTATTTTTCTACGTACTTTCTCCTAGGATTAGGATTAAATTGGTTTAATTAAAACCTGACTGCAGATTTTATATCGATCTTTTCTTTTCAATTCTCCCATCAGCTCATGCCCCCTCTCTTCTTCTTCTTCTTCTCTTTTCTTTTCTTTTATTTTGGAGAGAGAAAATCTTCTCTAAATAATGTTGTAGAGGAAGAAACCATTGATGAGCTTGAGGACAAGAGACAACTTGTATGTGATAGCATTCAAGTTGGAGTTGAACAAGTTTTGGAGAGATGCCCGAGAAGAAAGATCACTGATGCAAGAATCACAACATTATCGATTACGGGGAGGGACTTGCACTTGGAAAAATTCCACTTCAAATGGAGTTGGTTACCTACTTAATTATTAAGTACAACTCTCAAAATGATATAGTTTGGTCGATTATATTGCAAAATCCACAAGATTCCACAGCCTCTTGAATGCTTTAGTTAATAATTACGAGTCTTACTAATGATGATGCTACCAAGATGGTAAATGAATGGAGACAGGCATCCGCATATCTTCTAGACTGCCTCAAAAAACAAGGACATAGCTAAAAGAAACTGGCTAAAAGAAGTTGAGTCCATCTACTTTGAAAAAACATTTGTAATTAGGCATGGAATAACTACTGTTTTTGTCTTATGACTTAGTGTTCGATTTGCTAAGCTAAACTTTTATTCCCAACCTGTAATTAGGCATGGAACAACTACTTTTTTGACTTATGTCTTAGGGTTCGATTTGCTAAGCTAAACTTTTCTCCCCAATGCAAGAGAAAAATCATGCTTGAAGGGTATTTGAGACCATTAGCATCTTAGCATGATGGCATTTGAGACCACATTATCTTTGATCATGTAATGGTATATAAAATCAAAAAACGGATATACTACAATCTTATGAAAATAAGAAGATCCTAGTATATTAATACCTTAGAAACTCACTGATAATAAGAATGTTATTACCAAATCTTATAGCCTCGAGAGCATGCTTAGATACAAATTCAACTCAAAAAATCCAATCATTTTTAACTCAACCACGTTTTATAACTCAGCCCCACTATATCAATATTATCAAATAATATCAATCAATCATTCTTACACAAAACATCAACCTTAGTTCACTATTCATCATCTCACATAATTTAACTAACCATCACATCACATCTTCTCTCTCCTACTTTTACATCAATTTAATTTTAATCATTTTATATTAAATATTATTTTAATATACACCCGGTGATGCTATACGGTGCTGAATGTTGGCCTACATAAGGCAACATGTCCAACAACTAAGTGTAGCAGAGATGCGTATGTTGCGTTGGTTCTGCGGGCACACAAGGGATAGAATCCGGAATGAGAATATTCGAGATAGGGTCGGGTGGCTCTAATTGAGGAGAAATTGGTTCAACATCGGCTAAGGTGGTTCGGACATGTCCAACGGAGGCCTCTTGATGCACCGGTGTGCGTAGGGGAGTCCTACAGCGGGTCGATGATGTAAAGAGAGGTAGAGGTCGACCTAAACTCACTTGGGAAGAGTCGGTTAAGAGAGACCTTAAAGATTGGAATATCTCCAAGGATTTAGCGGTGGATAGGAACTCTTGGAGGCTAGCAATCAACGTGTCAGAACCGTGACTTTTGCTCCTTTCTCTTTTGCGCCAATCTCTTCCTTTTGTTTTGAGTCATTTTTGTGTTTCTCTTACCATTGGTTCTCTTGGGTTTCATCTCTAGCCTACCCCAACTTGCTTGGGACTAAAAGGTTATGTTGTTGTTGTATACACACTATCAATTAACCATACCAACTTTTTCAAATTTAACCAACCCAAACCAAAAATCCAATCAAAACAAAAACTTTTTGTATCTAAGCATTTTTTTTGAGGGGATGAACCAATAGCATGTTTAAAAAAAAAAGAAATAGAAGCCTCACATAGCTCCAAAAACATCGGATAAAATGAAGAACCCTGTTGGATCATCTAAAACAAATGAGGATAAATACCACATAAGAATACTCATAAAACGTGGATGAGATGGGATGAAATTAATCATGGATGAGGGACGGCAGACAGTCCACAAAAATTACTCAACTTTATCATACATCTTGTGGACAAAAAATGCTCTATTTACTAAATAATTTGAGTAAGACTTCATAAGTTAGCCAAAATGATCACAAGACATGACTCTTCATACAAAAGACAAAATACCAGAACAAAAATAGACAGCCTGGATCAGTTTATACTCCTTCTATATCATAGTTGTCAAAATGAACACTATTCTGGAGTCTGCACATCCCATGGAAATACAATACTTCAACAGAGTTTCTGAGTGAACACTATTCATTTCATTTTGAAGTGAAAACTTACAAAATTATCTACCAACTCAAAAATATTCACCAAGATTGGAGGACATTCAGGAGAATAGCCAGATTCTTCTTGGCTATATCCCGGTTATTGAGGCACGCAAGCGGACAGTCGAACACCACCTTCGATGATTTGTGGGAGTCGAGAAGGTATGTTGAGGCGTGACTCCATTCATTTACCATGCTGGCGGAATCCTCATCAAGATAGTAGAAAGACTCAAAGTTTTCGAAGAGAGCATTCAAAATGTTATGGAATCTCGTGGATTCTGCCAATGTAGTGATTATCACAATCATCGACCAAGCTACATCCTTTTCGGAGTTGCCCTTGTTAAAAAGGTGACCAACTGCGACTTGAAGTGGAATCTTTCCGATTTCAAGATCCTCCTTTATACCAGAATAGCAGACCAAATCCCGGAGCTACCCGAGAAAGGTAGACGTATAGCTTTTTCCATCAGTAGCGGGTCGTCTTTTTTATCGGGCATCTCTCTCCAACAGTTGTTCAACGACAACTTGTATACTATCACATACAAGTTGTCTCTCCTCATAGCGGTAGAGAGTTTCTCCATCTCATCTTCAGCATTAGATGCTCCCGACCCCCATCCCTTGATTTCTTTCGTTTTTCGGATGACGACAAAGCCGGCGAGTCATCTGAGAGCTTTTTTCTTTTCTTCCCGATGAGTGTTACTGTGCAACACATTTGTCGCTTTCCATGGATGCTTGTTGCTTGCTTCGGCAATACAAAACAATCGTGGCACTACATGATCGCCGCTCCAGGGCTGTTGGCAATATTCTTCGGGTATCTCACGGCACACGAATCCCTAAGTTGAGTGATGAGCACCCGTAATTGTTCTCCAGTTCCTGTGCAAACATTGAAGAATCTGCGAATACATGACATAATGCAAGTCAAACCTCGGGTTGTCATTCATACTTTTACTTATATTTTCTGACATTTAAATACATATGCCCTTGTATAATAACTGTGTAGTCTAAATAAAGAAGATAAAACTGCAACTTTTATTAAGGATAATTGAAGTCAAGCATAGATCCACATATGGTAATAAACCAACAAAAGCAAAGCAGCATTAATGTAAAGTTACCATATGTAGATTTATGCTTGGCTTCAATTATCCTTAATAAAAATTACAGTTTTATCTTCCTTAGTTAGACTATACAGTTATTATACAAGACCATATGTATTTAAATGTCAAAAAATAAAAGCAAGTATGAATGACAACATGAGGTTTGACTTGCGTTATGTCATGTATTCGCAGATTCTTCAATGTTTGCACTGGAGAACAATTACGGGTGCTCATCACTCATCTTAGGGACTCGTGTGCCGTTAGATACCCGAAGAATATTGCCAACAGCTATGGAGTAATCATGAAGTGTCACAATTGCTTTGTATTGCCGAAGCAAGCAACAAGCATTCAAGGAAAGCGGCAAATGTGTTGCATGTCACACATCAGGAAGAAAAAGAAGAAGCCCTCGGATGACTCGCCGGCTTCGTCGTCATCCGGAAAACGAAAGAAATCAAGGGATGGGGGGTCGGGAGCATCTAATGCTGAAGAGGAAGATGAGATGGAGGAACTCTCTATCGCTATGAGGAGAGACAACTTTTGGAGAGAGATGTCCGAAAAAAAAAAGAAGTCCCGCTACTGATGGAAAAAGCTATACGTCAACCTTTCAATGGGGAAGCTACAGGGATTTGGCCTTCTGGTATAAAGAAGAAGGATCTTAGAATTAGAAAGATTCCACTTCATGTCGCAGTTGGTCACCTTCTTAACAAGGACAGCTCCGAAAAGGATGTAGCTTGGTCGATGATGGTGATAATCGTTATATTGGCAGAATCCACGAGATTCTACAACATTTTGAATGCTCTCGTTGAAAACTTTGAGTCTTACTACTATCTTGATGAGGATTCCGTCAGCATGATAAATGAATGGAGTCACGTCTCAGCATACCTTCTCGACTCCCACAAATCATCGAAGGTGGTGTTCGACTATCCGCTTGCGTGCCTCAGTAACTAGGATATAGCCAAGAAGAATCTGGTTATTCTCCTGAATGTCTCCAATCTTTGAGAATCTTGGTGAGTATTTGTGAGTTGCTAGATACTTTTGTTAGTTTCCACTTCATTGAGATGAATAGTGTTCACCTCATAAACCCAAAACCCTGTCGAAGTATTGTATTTCCATGGGATGTCCAGACTCCAGAATAGTGTTCATTTTGACAACAACGATATGGAAGGAGTATAACTGATCCAGGCTGTCTATTTTTGTTTGGCATTTTGTCTGTTGTGTGAAGAGTCATGTCGTGTGATCATTTTGGCTAACTTATGAAGTATTACTCAAATTATTTGGAAAATAGAGTATTTTTGGTCTGATAAAGTTGAGTAATTTTTGTAAAGTTGAGCAATTTTGTGGGGTTGAGCTAAAGTTGAGTTAAAAAAAAAATGGTTGAGTTAAAAATGATTGGATTTTTTTAGTTGAATTTGTATCCAAGCATGCTCTCGAGGCTATAAGATTTGACAATAATATTCTTATTATTAGTGAGTTTCTAAGGTACTAATATACTAGGATGATCTTATTTCCACAAGATTGTAGTGTATCTGTTTTCGGTCTCAAGCCTTGGATCATGCTAAGATGCTAATGGTCTCAAATATCCTTCAAGCATGATTTTCCTCTTACATTGCCCCCCTCATATCAGGAAGCAGTCCAAAGATGCACTTACCATTTTATAGAAATTTTATTTTCCCACCACTCCTTGTAATGCAAGACAAAATCAACCTTGAAGGGTGGCTCTGTAATTTCAACAAATAAATCCAGAACTTTTGTTTTTGCTTCTCTAATGGCAATTCAGTCGAAAGGATAGGGGAGTTCCAGACTTAAGATCTACAAAATGATACTCATTTTTACCTTGATTACAAAGAACTCCATGGTGTTTGTAAAATTAGAACCAAAACGACATTTCTATATTTGTAAAATTAGAACAAAAAAAAAACAAAATAATTGACAACAGATACATCTTATTTTACCGTTTTATATCGAACCATATATGCATCAGTGCCCTTTTTGTATCCCGCCTCTATCAACGCTTGCTCTGCGCCCTAATCGATTAGTTTCACAAAAATGAGAAATGGTGATTTCCAACCAAGGGTAAAATACTTCTAACCATGAAATGTTTAAATTTGTTCCTCCATATTATTTTTAAATAGAAGAAGAGAAGATATTTACTGTCATATCACGAGGACCACCACCGGACGTGTCATAGACAAAGCTTTCTCCATAGAATGTGGTGCCGTCGTCCTCCTTGTCCAAATCTCCAGCCAAATACTGAAACCCCAATTTTCATTAGTCTTGGATCCTGATTAGAATTGTACCACCAAACAAACTAGAAAAATGAAAGAAAGAAATTTGTAAAACATACCCTAAGCTGTTCTCTCGTGAGTGGGGCTTTTAACTGTGTCATAATGGGAATTACGAAACTAGGCAAAATCTTGTGCTCCGCTTGGCTCTCAGTTTCCAATTTGATTTTTTTAGTATCTCGACCATCTTGCGCTGGACTTGCACCTCTCTTCTCTTCTGAAACTTGAGTATCAAAACCCTCGCATCCCTACAAAAGAGCAGTCATTTATCATCAACAACAACAACAAAGCAGATCTCCCTTGCAATTAGAGACGTATTTGCATCAATTTAAGGTGTATGTACATAATTTCAATTAAAGTTACAAAAAAGACATTAATAAATTTTACCAGCTGATCATTCAATTGAACCTCATCCATATTCATGGCAGACTCGATGCCCTTGCTTGAAAACGGGAAAAACACGACGAAAGATGATAAAAATTAGGATGAAGTTGAAGTTAACCACCAAGAACAAAACACATCGAGAAGAAAAAAAGGAGAGGCAGGGTACCTTCAATTCGTAGAAAAAACCCTTGGTTATGTTTGGTTTTGTGGGCTCCGATTTTGGGCTTCATTGGACCTATTTTTATGGGCTCAATTATTTTTTCTATTTTTTTTATTTGTTTCTTTTTATATTATTTTTTTTTTGGTTTCATATGCTAGAGAAGTTTTTTTATTGCAATTTTATTTCAACACAAATAGTTCTACCAAATGAAAAAAGAAAAAAGAATGTAAAAAATTAGGATGAAGTTAATGTTAATCACGACGAACAAAACACATCCAAAACCAGAAGAAAAAAGATAGCGCAATAAAAAGTGTACATTCAATTTGATTGTAGGAAGACGAAGATAAATTCGCACCCTACAAATCTTTGCTTGCTCTTATTCCGTTTGGCAATTAATATAATACCCATAAACAAATAGGGTACATTAAATTAAAAATAAAAAATTTGTATCAACTGAAATAAGTAAAGAGATTTACATTCTTATAATATAATGTTAAGAAATTAAGTATAAAACTAATAATTTTAAACTTAACAAAGTTAATTATTTAAAAAACTACCTATATTTACACTTAATTTGTTAAGATGATATTTTTTAATATTACACACACACACACACACATATATATATATATACATATGTATATATTATATATAACTCAATAAAATTATTTTGAATTAATTTAAAAAAATTTACAAGTTTAATTAATATTTTGCATACACAATTTTTTTTTCATCTATTATATTTAAATATCTCCAATTTATAATATTTAATAATTTAAAATATGATGTGTATGGGTGTAATATTTTAACTTAAAAAATGTAATAATTTTATTTATAATTAAACTTTTTTTTAATTTTAACATCATTATAATATTCAGTCTCCTTGTAGTCTTTATTTAAGTTGAGCCATAAATCTTAAAATATTTTTTATATACATATTCTTTCAATTAAAATAAATATTTTATGATATGTTAATATAAATCAGTTTGTATTGCTTCATAAGATAATTTGTAGTTTTTTTTTCTTTTTTTGATATTTTTAATTTAGTTTGATAAGTCACTTTAAAATTATTTATAAGGATATATATCACAATTTTATATATGTAATATGGATGTCAAAGCGAAGATCGTTAAAAGATAATTAATTTAATATATCATATATAAAATATAAAATACCAACAAAAATATTATATAATTTAAAAAATAAGAATATAATACGTTTATAATAATTGGTGTATGAATTAAATAAGAAAATAAAATGTAATATATGGTAATGTAGGAAAAGGAAATGTAAAATAGTTTATAGTAACTAATTGTATAATAAAAGAAAGAAGAGATCAATCATATATTTAATGTGAATAATATAAATATTTAATACAATCCAAGCCTAATTATTATTTTATAAAAACATTAATTTATAACCAAACCTAGCTAGAAGCATGGTTTTCTGGCACATAAGATTCCGAAGCGTGCGGATCTGCCACTTAGCTCAACGCATTCGGCATTTATATATAGAGAGATGACCTACAACTATAATAAATTAATATTAGAATTATACGAATAATTATATTTATATGACTTCACACTTTATAGCCACAATGACATCCATTAGAAATGAATTCGCAGGGTGGATGATGCGCATTGGGGTCGTCGTCTGAAGAATGCGCACAACTAGGCTCGACATGCACAAATTAAAGAACAACAAGTGGCATATTTTCAGGGTCGCGTCGCGACGAGGTAGAGGCCTCGCGTCATGAGTTTAGTCGTGAGACCGTCACGAAGACAGAGGCTGGGAGCTTTACAGGGTCGATGTAGAAGAGCTCTTCCTGAGAGCTTAGTCGCGGGGACCGTCACGAGAGCAGAGGCTTTGGGCTGGACAGGGTGTCACGCCGCATAGGTCTGAAAAGTTAAGTAGAAGTTGGTTATGGTGGGATTAGTTAAATATTTGAATGTTTAAGTTAAGTTATGTATTGTGCTTTGTTTGAGTGTGTGTGAATTTTGGGACTTGTATCAGATTAAAATATGACAAGTTAATAAATATAAAAAATGCTCATTTTCAAGCACAAATCGTGTCTAAACCAAGCCGTTAGCGCGAGTTTTTACACAAATTCGAGAGTACGATACTCGATTCGTAACAATCTATATATATTGAAAAAGAGAGGTCAATAAATCATTTGTGGAAACTTTTAAGAAATTGGTCAACAAATGCTTTGACTTCCCATTTGTGGAAACTATGACAAAAATCCAAAAAGTATTTTTCTTTCTCTTAATTTTCTTTTTAGTTTAAATCATTCTTAATAGGAAGTTGTTATGGTAATTTGTTACAATACTTATCTCAATACATTTAAAGCATTTCAAAAAACCAGTTTTAAAAATCCGAAAATGAAGAGAAAAAACCTCCCTAATTTTCGGAAAGAGTGACTGAAAATAAAACAACCGAATAGCATGCAAATCAATTGAAATGGCGAATCTCCTAAAATCAATCGGAATTTTGGGAATCTCCTAAAATCAATCGGAATTTTGGGAATCTCCTAAAATAAAGGAAATGGCGAATCAATTGAAATACAAATTGTAATAGCCTAAAATAAAGGAATTGGTTTAAGAACAATATATATTTCTTACGCACAACATGCATTGCTAATTGAAATATAAATTGTAATAGTCTAAAATAAAAGAATCTCCATAATACAGTCCCATATAAAAATTTAATTTTTTTATTCTTTTTAATCAAATCAACCTACAAATTTGATATGTAATTGAAATACAAACAAATTGAAATCACCTAAAATAAAAGAATTTGTTTATTCCTCCCTAATACAATCTCATATCAAAATGCGATTTTTTTTTCTTTTCTTTCTTGACATACAATCACATAAGCCTACAAATTTGGATTTTTTTAAATAGAAATTGAAATCGGATACATACTAAAATAAATGAATTTGTTATGGGATTCCTCCATAACACAATCCCATTTCATAATACAACTAATTTCGGACTTTGTTTTTTTTTTACATAAAACCGATTCCACCGACTCAGTATTGAATTGAAATCGGATTCCACCTACAAATTTGGAATCTAATTTGAAATACCCATTGAAATCAGATATCCTAAAATAAAGGAATTGGGTTATTCATCCAAAATACAAATCCATATCAAAATATCAAAGTACGATGGAATAGGAATTTCAAATCAATTACAATTCATCTCTTTCCACAATATATGGAATAGGAATTTCAAATCAACTACAATTCATCTCTTTCCACAACATTTTATTCTAAAAATCAAATTTAAATGGATTTAAACTCGAGATTTTGTTTCAAACTCGAGATAATGTGTACGTAAATAGATTGATTATTTCTTTATTTACAAAAGTCTACATTGGACAAATTTCTACAAGATTTTTTTACCGATTTTAAACTCTCTTCTAACAACAATATATATATATATATATATATATATATATATATATATATCTTACGATCAACATGCATTTACCGTATTACAAACTCATATCTTAAAAGAAAAAAAATCACATTCTCTATAATGGATCAATCATTTGGGTTAATCAAAGATGTTGATGGGAACAAGAGACCTATGCTTAAAGTTCGAACTCTGAGGAAGTTTTTTCAAGATAAGGGCAACACATACAAGTCACATCTCGAGCTTATTTTGCATGATAAAATTGTAAGCGATATGGTTTCGAATTATTTTTCATTAAAAAAATAAACATATGTTCAAATTTAGTATTTACATACCATATTAATTATTTTTCAATTTGTTGTTTCAAATTATTTGTCAAGGGAAATCGTATTACGGTGTGGCTAGGGGCAGTCTATTTGCCGACGTTTAGAGAGAGGAATCTTGAAGAGGGTATGGTCATTGCTATACGAAACTACCAAGTTGAAAGCAACATTGGTATGTATCGATCTGTAGCCGACAAGTTTAAGATAATATTGCATGGGAGCACTATATTTTGAAGTGCAAAGAAACTTTTCCTACGTTTCGATTTCAATTAAGAGACTTTGCAACTCTACAAGATGTCAACAAAATTGACGAATCAATTCTATTCAGTAATATTATTTTATTATGTTTCTAATATTATTTGATGTATTTGAATAATTGATTATTTAAAAGGGGTTGAAGATATTAATATGTGAGAATGACAAGTTGCCCAATGATTAAACTCATAATGTTGTGTACAAAGAGGTATTTAATAATATAAGATTTTTTCTCTGTCGAATACTATCTTATTGTACAATTTTCCTACGTATTATAAAACTTTTATTTAATTATGCATCTTAAAATATAATATTCCCTAAATAAATCTAGCTCGTGCATCGCACGGGTCACGTACTAGTGTTTGTATAAGGTGTTGGTCGTCGCGCGCCTTGCTGTCAAATGATCGTCACGCATGCCGACGGCCTCCATTGCTGTACGCATGGTTCTCGATTTGTCTAGAAGCACCTCAACCGTTAATCGGGCTTCAAACCTCCAATGAATGCGTCGACAAGTCCTCCCTCCTGCCAATCACGAACTCGACTCGCGATTCGTTCGAAATTCTTTTGGTATTCTCGTAAAACCCCCGTTTGTCTGATATGTGAAAGAGCTTCATCATAATCACAATAATCATATATTTCGAACCTTGTAATCAACTCTTTTTTGAAGGTCTTCCTATGGATCAGCCTATTTTCCTTCCAGTAAATCCTCGACAACCATTGCCACCGTACATTCACTTCCACATCAAGGTAGTAGGGGGCATATTTAACCGTTTCGGATTTGGGTATGCTATTGATCTCAAAATTTTGAAGAGCGCGATTCAACCACACATCTGGATCCACTCCATTAAAGGTGGGAAGAATCAACTTAGGCCTCTCACCGCATTGCCTTTCCCTATGATTTGAACCCCTTGATTGAACATGGTCGTCCACCGCTAATTCATTTTGAAATTCGCGTTCTCCTTCAAAATTAGTCAAGCCTTCTGAAAATGAATAGCAGCGGTTGCCTTATGAGAATTCACTATTATTATTATTATTAATAATCG